AAGGAAAGAAAGAAAGAAAGAAAGAAAGAAAGAAAGAAAGAAAGAAAGAAAGAAAGAAAGAAAGAAAGAAAGAAAGAAAGAAAGAAAGAAAAATCTACAAACTGAAAGAGGTGGCTGGGAAGGACTGGAACTGTCACAGCTTTTCTGAATCTCCTTCAGCCCAGTCTTTACATCTATCACTAAGATCATAAAGCCATCACTCAAAAGTAAATTGTCCTTAATTAAACGGACAATTGCAGTGTTTTGTTTTAACTGTGAACAGAAAGACAGTTTGGTTCTTCTGTTCTTCATTCAGGAAGGGGAACGTTTAATGGGTGAATATCCAAGAAAAAAAGAGATATTTATTTTCCTTGAAAAATATTTCTTTTGTTTCTGATACCTAAGGTAGGAGGACATTAAAGGAGCCGTTTAATATGGCTCCTTATACAAAAGAGATGGTTTCAATGTGAACACAGAGCCCATGGTTTGTTGTCTGGCCTTCGGGTGCTTTGGAGAAATGCTGACAATCTAGCCCGATTTTGGGTTTTGGGTTTTCACAGTGTTAGGTAAATGGAATTCCCGTTTAGCCAAAACAAACCCGTTTTACCTCCTGCTTCTGCTTGGCATTTTCCTCCATCAAAGAAAGCATGATCTCACGGCCCTTTAATATATATATATTGGGGTGTGTGTGTGTGTGGAAATTCTCTGAAAGAAGATGTACTTTCTCACATAACATCTTGAGGTCGTCTTCCCTGCTACTGTTTTGTGTCTAAGAAAATAAGGAAGCAAGATGCGGTTAAAATGGCTGGGAAAAGACAAGCGGCCTCTTCAAAACTTCCTAGAATAGCCGCCCTCAACTGACACAGGTCGAAAATCTGATTTCTGGCTGCTTGATACCATTGCAGACTTAGCGGTGAATTCGCCCAACATAAATTTTTTGCCTATCAGAAGTTTTTACCTGCTGGAGAAAGAAAACCATTTCCCCATTCACCTGGCCTACTCTGTGGGTTATTTCTGAGCTGCCCCCATTCCCCGCATTTTAAATACAAGATAGTCCTTGACTAACAACAATTCGTTTAGTGATGGTTCAAAGTTAGAAACAGCACCGAAAAAAGGGACTTTTTCACACTTGTGACGGTTGCAGCATCCTCACCATCAAAATTCAAGATTCTTGGCCATCTGTTTTTGCAAAGCCCATAGGGAAGGCAAACTCACTTAAGAACCGTGTTACTAACTTAGCATCCACTTAAGAACCGTGGCAGGAGAAGTCGTAAGATGGGCAAACTCCCTCGACAAACGTTTCACTTAGCAACATACAATTTGGGCTCAGTTGTGGGCATAATTCAAGGACTACCAACATAAACACAAAACTTATTCTAGGGAGTTTTGGAAGGGCCTGGAACTCAAGTGCAATATCGGCCTGAGCTTGTGGCTGGCTTGGAGGGTTTATGGGCTGGATCCCTGGACATAAAAGATGGACTTAAGTTAGAGGAAGCAATGACAGCCCAAGTGCCCAGATTTAAACAACATCTTTCTTCTTAAATTCTCCCACTCGTTTTTTCTCCCTTCTTCTCCTTGGGAGTGTGTGTCTTGAGGGGGAGGGGAGGGCGGGGAGGACTGGCACCTTTCATTTCTCTCCTTTTTATGTTGAAAAGAATTTGCATGGGCTGGAAAGCAAATGCGCAACCATGCATTGGTAATTTTGAGTTGGCACGGGACAGGGGATCCGCATGGCAGTTGATTTTTTTCGGGGCGGGGGAGGAGAATGTTTTTGGAGCACTGAATTTTGGGGCATCCAACTGCTTTTATTCACGAGATGAAAATCCCACCTTTCACAAAATACTAATTCAAGGGGGCATAACTCTGCCTCTTATCCCCTTCTCCCACCACCCAACAAGAACTTTGGAAAGTAGGTTGGTCTATGAGAAAGGAGCGGATTCAAAGTCATCAAGACAGTCCATGGCTGAACGTGGATTGACCACTATAACCAATACACCTTACTGCCTATCCTTTAGAGCCCCCTTTTGATTCAGGGGCATGGTGCATGAACCCTAACCCTTAGCTTTGATGGGAACTTATGGCTGGTGTTGGACAGATTTTCTTGTAGAGTTGATAAGCGAAACAAACTGGCTTACAGGCTTTGACTCACTTGGTGTGTGAAATAAAACAGAGGGAAAGAAAGGGGGAGAGGAAGGAGAAAGAGGAAGAAAGGAAAGGAAAGGAGAAAGGAGAGGAGGAAAGGAGAAAGGAAAGAGGAAAGGAAAGGAAAGGAGGAAAGGAGAAAAGGGGAAAGAGGAGAGGAGAGGAGAGGAGAGGAGAGGAAAGGAGAGGAGAGGAACCAGCCTTGGTTATTTTCCTGTTTCCAAGCAGTGTTTTGGGCATTCTGCTTTTTTAGAAATAATCTTCAGTTAACTCTTACATTCCATATCTTGGAGGCTCGAGGTAAATGATCAGAAAGACTCTGTGGTCAGAGGAGAAAATTGGTTTAGCTCTCTGATGGAGAGACAAAAACTTCACAATAATTTCATTTTATTTTGATTTTCCAAAGACACGTCCTGTTTTTTAACAGTCCCCCCCACTTTTTTTGTCCTGGTGCCAATCAGAGTATCACCTATAAAACTCAGCTATTTAAATGAACTTTCATTTTGTTAGTAAGATCGGGCTTCCTTTTAGGAGGGACTTGCCTTGAGATCGCTTGATTTAAAAATAGCAAAATAGCCCTTTTTATCGTTTTATAAATGCATCCCCCAAAG